CTGGCAGAGGGCGGGGCGAGCCCCGGTGCGCTCGTGTCCTGGAGACGAGTCGGCTGCGGCTCCCGGAGGCTTCCTGGCCGCTCTCCCGGTGCGGTCAGTGCACGCTGACCGTGGAGCATCGTGACTCCTTCTCGGCTTCCTCAGGTTGTTCCCGCCCTTGCTTAGGTGGCGCCGGAGGCCCTGCTGGCAGTTTCCTACCTGCCGCGCACGGGCTTCTCACAGAGCAGCGCCTCGTTTAGCCAGCGCTGTGGGTCTTGCGCGTCAGCCTGTGGCATGACCTAGCACGAGCCCCCTGCCCTGCAGTGTCTGGGCGCTCAGCTCTGCGGTGGCCGGGGCCCCCCCCGCTCCAGGCTCTGCCCCAGTGCTCTGTGCATCCTTCGGAGGAAGCGTCCTCAGAGCCCACGTGGCCTGGACGCCGCTGCCCGCAGCACCCCGCTCTCTCGGTGAGGCTGACCGGGGGCTTCCAGATGTCCAGGACACATTTTTTTAGCAACATTTGTGCCGCCGACAGTGGCGGGGCCGTGGGCTACCAGTGTCTGAGCGTGGCCGTGTGAGAGGCCGCCGGGCAGGGCAGGGGCAGTGTGGTCATCACAGAGGGTGGCTTGGCTGCCGGTACCAGCAGCTCAGGCCGAGAAAGCAGCTGTCTCTCTGCACACAGCCACGGGAGAAGGCGCCCCGGTGCCGACACGACCCTGTCGGAGCGGGTCAGCGTCCGAATAGATCTGCCGGCCCCCGACACTGGCCGGCCCCTCCAGCTGGGAGCTGAGGACAAGCTGCCGGGTCTGAGCAGGCCCGACAGCTCCGTGCGAGTGTGACCTTGGAGCAGAAGGCGGGCGTCCGTCCGCGGAGCCTGGCGGGATTTGCTTGAGATTGACCGTCCGTCGTTTAACAAACGACATGCCGCTTGGGTTCTTGGTTTAGATCATTGCGACCGGTTGCGGAAGACGCTGACATTTAGGGAAGCCTGGTGAAGGGCACACGGGAATTCTTCGTACTATTTCTGGAACTTTCTGTGAGTCTGGAACTATTTCAAAGTGAAGCTGAGCCGAGAAAGAGCAAAGAGCGACCCTGCTTCGCCGAGAAGCTGCGACGGCCCCGCGGCTCTTCCGGAGGTCTCAGGCCGGTGTCTGGGCCTGCTGCTGCGCAGTGACCGGAGGCTGGGCTGCCCCAGGCTGGGCCACCAGGCCTGCCCCCGACGGGCTCTGAGCCCGCCGCCTGCACAGCGCTGTAATTCCACCTCGGGGTTTCCGGTGGCTCTGCGGTCACTCGAGCTTGGCCGCGGTCACCGGTCACCGCGAGAACCCCTCGCTGGAAACTTAGCTCTGTAATTAATTTACCGGCGTGCTTCAGTTTTCATTATCAGGCTCTGAATTCGGGATAGTCCCGCGGATTCTTCGGCACTGCATCCTACTGGATGTCACATTTGTTGGTTGTGTCTCAGGAAAAGCTGATTTAAATGCGGCCCTCCCTGGTGGCGCAGCGGGTTAAAGCACAGCACTACGAAGCTTAAGCCACTTCCGCATGAGTTTGATCCCCGC